AAAAAAAAAAAAAAAAAAAAAAAAAAAAAAAAAAAAAAAAGAAGAAGAATGAAAGTCTCGACAATAAAGCTGATTGTATACCTCATCACTTATGAACCATTTGTTGTTCTTGTCCCTGTGTGGGGCTGACTCGAAAGATATATGACCGTACAAAAGTCCATTTGAAGGCTTTCCCTTGAGACTCAACAAAACTTCATCGACCCTTACAAATGCATCGTCGTCCATTTTCATTATGTATTTGGCACGCAGTATTTTTGTCTGTTTTATGAGAGAAAAATAAGTAAAAAATAAAAAATCAAGAACTTTCATAACGCACGTGTAGATAATTAATAACAAATTTAGTTACCCAACGTAAAGATGTTGAGTTTAACTCAGAACTCTACAAGTTAATTTCCACATGAATCGTATGAGCAAGTATATGGTGACAATGGATCGACTGTCGATTATTATACTCAAAATTTTATGGAGAAAAGGTAAAATGTGTACCCCAAGGATGCAAATAGCAATGGTTTTGTATGTAAGCAGGCTGTAATAATCCACAAACGGCATCAACTGCATATCACTGTATGCTTCAGCTTCTTTCCATAGCTTGAAGTTCACCTCTTTATTCTTGTGCTGCACATTTTAGTTACTTAACTAGTTCAGAAATAACTTCTATTCACCACATGTGAACTATAATGAGCTATTGTCATGTAAAAAAAAAAAGGTTTTCAGTGACTCACTTACAAGTCCAATAAAGAAGCAAACAGCCACATCCCCCGAACGCACGGCATCATATTGCATCCAAGTCCTTCGTATTGCCATTCGCCTCTCGAAATTATTCCCCGATGAAAAAACCCCAATCAACAGTTGTAGCCTTTTATTAGAATAAATCGATTTAGCCCTTTTGAGCTCCTGCGCTTTGGCAATTAAATCGAAATCTTCATCAACAGGCAGGCCTTTTGCTAGGACAGACACAATACTCAAGCTGCCTCTGACATTGACTCTATTAACCAACCATGGTTCGAGCCTCTGCCATTAAATTAAGACATACATACGCTTATTACAAGTGCTGCAAATCCAAAAAAAAAAAAAGGACTAGAAAAAGCTTAAATACCTCTCTATAGGAAAACGATGTCTCGTGCCTCCCATTAACAGTCATGTGAAAACCCTCTTTACCAGCCCACAATGTGGCAGTAAAAGGGTTGCCATCAACAAAGTGGAAGGTACTACTTTCATGTGTACTACTAACGGATGTATTAGCAAATTTTCTATTTGAAGTATGATTTGTAGTTAGACTGTCTTCTGTAGTTCTTCGAATAACTTGTGTATTGCATTTTACGAGTCCATCAACTGAAACAATTCCAGACGAGACAGGTTAAACAACAATAAAGTTTATCTAGCAAATCAAATAGTTCGCCTTTTCTTTATTTCTCTATCTAATTAGTCATTAGCAGCAAAATGGTAATATGAGTCTATGACCATTAGACTAAGATTTCAAATAATTGTTTCCAGTTGAACTAAGGGATTGACCAGTTAAAACTTCCATTATTCATATATACAGTAATTTCGAAATGTACTTTCGATTAACAATCCTCATAAACACATACCCGGCAGAAGATCAGACGAGCCATGATCGGGACACTTCTCCTCCTTGCCCCAACCAAATTCTTGAGTCCAAGTATTCTGAATCATAACAGACTCTTTCGTCAAGTTCTCGCCCGGTAAAATAACACGGTAATGCAACACGATTGGAGGATTAAGCTCCTCGACTCGTGAGCCCACCAATTCAATTTTGAAACTATCTCGATGCAAATCAGGTATCCCGAATACAGTAACAGAAGAATCCTCGACCAGACCACAAGGGATGTCCAGAAAACTCTCGTTCCCCAACAACCTAGCATTGTTAGCTGAAGTTACAAAATGCGGACATGCTTTGTTCACAACACCACTTTTATTACCCTTCTCAATCATCAAAATCAAATCTTTCCACATAACCGCAGCTTCTTGAATCCCCTGACCCGTCTCAGGCAATGCATCCGATCTCGGAAATAAAAACTTCATTTTTCTCCACACGAGCAATGCACTATCTTCTTCCCTCGTCACATTCTTACGCAAAATGTACAGCTCATTCAAACCTTCGAAATTCTTAAATTCGGGCTTTGGCCGTTTTGTTTCGGGGACCTCGGGAGATTTGGCTACGGGATCAGGATTCTCGGCTTTGGCCGGTCGAGGGTTGAAAAAATCATACGCGGATAGTTTTTTCGAAGGTTCGGGTTTTCCGATAAACGTGTAGCTGATGAGCAATATGAGGGCAAGGCCTAATATCACTACACCCCCTGTCCACTTCTTCATTCCCCAAACTAATCTACTACACTCACATTCTTGTTAGCATCTACACATAGGTACAAACAATAGAGCCATTAACGAGCTCAACTCAACTCAACTTTAGATCTTCACATCAAGTTCTTGCAACCGTCAGTAAGTGAGAGAAAACAGGTAAATAGGCTACAAATGTACATTCGAAAAACTAAATTAACTATGCAAGCACAGGGAAATAGACACAACCCAGTGTGTAAAACATGTAAAGAATCGAACTTTTCTTACTTCTGGTGACTGGGATCTCTTGGGTTTCGGAAGTAATTTCTCTTTTCGGATGTTTTCAATGGTAATAAAAGGGCTCCATGGAAGCTAAAGATTTGAGCTTTGGTGAAGCAACAATTTTCTGCTGTTCCTTTTCTGCGGAAAGTCAGCCGTGTGTTGAAGAACGGAACCAAGGTGTCATTGTGTGAAGAAATCTTGATTCTTGAAATGAATTGAAATTGAAAAGGCAAAAAGTCGGTTGAACTTTTAGCTGAATTCTAGTGCTTGTGTGTGTTTTCTCGTATAAATACGGCATAATTGTTGAAGCTTTGTCTGTGCGAAAAAAAATATATATATATATATATATATATATATAAATCATATGTATTATTTAGATTAATTCGGTTAATTGATCGAATGTATCGATTAATCAATTAGGATTTAGTTCGGTGTGAATCATATTATTAAAAATGCTTGCACTTGGATGCACATTATTGTTAGATGAATTGCACTTTTATGACTATCGGATTGCACATTTCGGTTCGATTATTTGTTTATACTTTCAAATCACGATTATTTCGAGTTCGATGTCGACTTCAATTTTAAAAAAATAACATAAATAACCGAACTGACCGAACAATATGGAAAATATTATTATTATTTTTTAAATGGTTATGTATCGTGGGAGCACTTTAGGGTTGTATGAATTGCACATTAATGACTATTGAATTGCACATTAGGGTTATTTAGTGTAATAATATAAAATTATTAAATACAATTATCAAGATACTAAATATATATTTAATATTAGATATATATTTAATAAAAAAAATAAATAATTATCAAGTGATGAAAACCCGTTTTTTTTTATTAACTCATTCGCTGATCGAGACTTTGAAGACGTGGAAATCAAGTAATTGCTTAAGTTGCATCCTTTCGAGTTAAGCTCTTTTTTGAGGTTAGCAAACTTTAACTTAAATTTAGAAACAAAGAACTTATAAGCTAACCAAATAAGCTATAAGCTAGCTTATTCGTCTACCAAACATAGCCTCAATAAGCTTTTGAGTATGATTGTCAAATTGAACAATCAATCTTCTTTAAGGCTTAACACATAAGGTTAGAACTCGACTTCCTAACGAGAGGAGTCCCCTACTAAGAGCATAATACAATTTTTGGATTCGTCATTCCTATTCATAAGTTGTTCATTAGAATCGACATTCTTTATATAAATCTACCTTATCTTATTTTTCGGTCAGGAAAAAATTTTGTATATTACAATTGAGTTAAATGGTTAAATCTACAATTAATTGAAATCTAATTAGTACTTTAACATGTAATATTTTTATTATTCTTTATTCTGAAGATAAATAATATTTTTACGAAAACATAATATAATAATATTATTATTTTTATATAATTCGATTATTTCGGTTTAAAATAAGAATAATAATAATAACAAAACAAATACGACATCTGATTAAAAATAATTGAATTATTTTTATATAATTTGGTTCGGTTATTTTAGTTAAATAATAATAACAATAGAATAAATACGACATCAAATTAAAATAATCGATTGTTTGAATTAAGTCCTTCTACCATATCAAATTCACAAATACAAGTCCAAATCTCCAATCCACCTCCCTACCGCCCCCCAGACCAACGATCGTTCGTCCATAGCCGCACCACCATCACCGCTGCCCTCGAAGATGCCGCCCCCACCGTCTTTCAGAGCTTTGTCCGATCTCTTCATTTTTTCAGCAATGTTTAAATATAAGTATTGATCTCATCAAATTCCAAGTTTGAAATTTTGAATGCTCATTCGTAGTCGTATATCCTAATTATATCCATAAAAATGATCAAATATCGTCGAACAAACCTGAAATATATGAAATTGAAGGTTCTAACTAGACTAGTATGTCAACCATCAATTGTATGGAAACCATAAGCGCCAAAGTCAAAACTTAAACAACCAGAATCTATCCCCAATCCAAAACAAATGGCCCTAAACTTGCTTAAAATCTCATCACAACAATGAAAAAACAGACCAACCAAGTGATAACAATGAAAAATTCCAGACATCTCAGTTTCTTCAAAGTAGCTGATGATTCAGAATTGTTCGATTTTTTCAAGGCCTTCATTTCTGCTTCAAGAACCAAAATCTTCCGCTCCAACTCTACCATTGATGTTTTATTTCAATCAGTGAAAACTTACGCTCCAATTCCAAGATCGATACCGATGCCTCTTGAAATTTGGAAATCAAGGAATCATTGGATCTTTAAAGAAGCCAGGAAACCTGAATCAGTCATTGTCCAAGCAGCTCTTAATAACTGGTTGAAGTTCAGTTCACTGCATTCTCCCTACGGATCCTTTGTTTGTTTGTTCCTGATTCAATCTCCTACTCTCTTCTCTGTGGCAGATTCTGAATTTTAAAGGTGTTAGTTGTTGTGTTGCTTGGTCTGGTTGGTTGAAGCTTTGGTTCACAATGGAATTTGGTTGGGTTGCTTTTTGCTTGAGATTTTATTATGAAGAATGGTTGATGCTGCTAGTTTGATAATGTTGATATCTGGTAGCTGGTGTCTCTCTTTGGGCTTTTACTTTTCTTGCTTGGTGTGCTGGCAGTTTTTTTGTCTTTTTTCTTTGTATTCTGGTAGTTGGTGTATAGCTGTTTTATTTCTTTTTGTACAACAACTTCAACTAGGCCACTTAGGGCAGTGGTTGCTAGTTTTTTCTTCAGCCTGTCTCTTTGGCAGCAAAGTATAGGGTAACAACTCTTCGAGTTCATTGCTTAGTCTTTGCCGGGAGTTGTTCCCTATGCTTTCATTTCATGGTAGGATTCTAATGCACCTAGGATCGGTGTTACTCTCGATTCTTGTTGTTGGATTGTTATCGGGCTTCCTATCCCGGGATATAAATCTTTTGAGTTATAANGATTCCTTGCTGTAGCCTTTTTGGGTGTTTCAAGCTGTTATTGTGCATTAACTTTAAAAAAAAAAAAAACACCAAAAATTGTAGAATAGAACCTTAAAACAGCACAAGCAAATTGATGGTAGCTTAGGTCAAGTACACGTTCTCATGGGATAGGTACAAATAAAATTCATTAGGACAATCATAGAGACGAAACTATACTTGGACGACAGGAAGTATTTAGAAAAGAAACAAACGTGAAGGCAACGCCAATAAATTAAACATGATATTGAGTCTTAACAGTTTTTCATATTTTATTAGATGCATTGGCCAAAGTTGAACAAACCAAAGCTAAACAAATCATCGATGTTGGGCACAGAAAGCCATAGTCATGTAGTCGAGGGATATTACTATTAAGAAATACAGCAAAATAAGCTCAATGTTTAGCCTCCGGGGACGGAGGCCATACAATTATTATGGTTTAAAATAAGATAATGTCGAGCGGGATACGGTAACTCTACAGAGTGGACCTCACGTGTACAAACTTTGTACAAAATGCAATTGCAACTTGTATTGGGAGGAGCAAAGACGAGAACATCTGGGTAATTCAGCCAACCAACCGGAATGAGCAAAACCCCTTGGCTTACCTTGTCTTGACAATCTCTGAAAAATCCATCGAACCTCCAGTTTTCAGCTTCCAAATCAATGTTAAATACCTTGAGCCACTCCCCAGTTTCTGGTTTCATCTGCCAAACTTGCCACGAGAAATTCCCAAGGGCGACCAATAAAGATAGATACCTTCCTGTTGACAGATAAAAGCGTCTCTTGTTTCTGTGAACTCGAGGAAGGGGGACCTCTGAGTTGGAAATAATTTCAGTCTCCACATTGAGAGAGAAAACAGAGGTGCACGAATCCCAGACCCAATGCACAAAACCATGAGTGATCAACGGCTTAAAGGTGTACGAAAGTTGGTTCCTATTAAGAGACAAGTGTTTGGTGTAGACATGCCTCCAGGTGGTATCGACACCAACAGTTAATATAAGACATTCAAGATTCCTTACACCATTGCTTCCATCCACGTAATCGCGCACAACCACTTTATACTTCATGGAGGCCGCCGCATACGCCATAGCAGGAAGAAGAGCTGCATAACATATCTTGGAAAATGGAGGCAGGGTGAAGCATTGCTTGGTTGCGGGATTCAGGATGCGCACAGAATAAGGATCTCTGTTTAAGAATCCCAAAACCAGGCCATTACAGCTGGCCCAGATAAAACGACCAAGTTCGTAGCGGCAAATGGATTTCTCGACCCGGCCCTGCCGCATCGAGATAAAAATCAATTCTTTGGGTAAAAACAAACAGTGTAAGAGGAGCCCACCGGAAGTTGCACGGCAAATCAAGTCAGGGGTATGGGTCAAATGGTACCACTTGCGGCAAACGAGCCCTACCGGGTCCCGGATATCTTGAGGTGGGAGACGAGCAATGATGTCCAATAATAAATCTTTGGGAAGGGACTCTATACTTGCTAACCTAAACCTCTTCCTCAAATAATACCGTGGAGTGTGACTGTGGCCGGCCACCTGCACATCAATTAAGGTTTCTTGTCATCAACTGGGTCTAAAAACTTGCAACATTTAACCATTTGTGAAACACCTTTTCGTTTCATTCTTAGCTGCGCATTTAGCAATCGCTAGCTAGTTTTCGGGAACACACACACACACACACACACATGAAATGTAAGTCAGCTCAGAACAGTACACACACTCAATTAAGGTTCAATTACAAAAATATATATCAGTTTTGTAAAAGCGTCGCAGAAATTTCTTACAACTCCAGCGGGTGATAGGGTGTTGGCGGCGGACTTCGGCTCGCTCTGGAATTCATCGGACGGTGGATCTGAACCCCAAAAAGATGGTAATTACGCCACAAAAACTTTAACAAAAAAGAGAAGACACTGGATAGATCTAACTAATATGCATTTGATTTGAATGTGGTAAAGGAAAATCAACAAATACTCTTGTCATTATCGGACCACGAACCTGCAACCTTGCCCATGCTTCTTTTAGAGTTGACTATACAGAATGTTTGTATACTCTCGGGAGAAATACGCAAATATAAAGTAGGGTTAATTGCACTAAATACTTAATATTAAAACACTCGTGATTACATATACGGAAACAATATTAAATTAATAATATTATAAATAGACTTCGAGTTTGAGTCATTCAATGGCGAAAGTAGAAATTACTATTGATCCTATTTAAAAAGAAGAAGAAAAAAAATAAATTATAAATTAAAGATGAGGATAAACAATACTTAATAATTATAAATTAAAGATTCGGAGTCAAACAATATAAAATTAATTTATATAAGAGAATATAAAAAAATTTGATTACACACCATTTCAAAATTATTATTATACTTTTTTGTATGGTTAGCTTATAATATTTGTAAAAATATTAGTAATTAGACCGATTCAAATTAACTTCTTAAAGTAGATAATGAATTTCTAGTAGTAATTATGAATTGATTTTTATTTTATTTTATTTTTTCTTTTTAAAGATAATGGATTTCTAGTAGTAATTATGAATTGGTTTCTATTTTATTTTATTTTTTCAAATCTGTATAGATAAGGGATGAGATTTTTTAAACGATATGCAATGCGATTTCGTAACAGAAGAGATAAGCTCGTGTAGATTTATACTAAAAATAGGAGTAAGAAAAACAAATATTTATTGGCAAACAACGGTTTTGATAAACTAAAAAACAGGAAAAAGAGAAATAAATCTTTACACAATTAATGAGCCGATTCTTTTGCCTATTCAGATTTGTCCTTATATGTAGGATATATTTAATGATTTTGGCGGGAAAGGTTTCTAAATTTGTAAAAAGGTTATTCTTTTTATATAATGATAGATGCTTATATAAAAAGAATTACTATTTACTAAATATAGCAAGCAAAACAAATTTCAAAATTTCTAAATAAGGAAGGGATAGAAGTTTAAATAAAATATGGTTGCTTTAACGAACTTATAGGAAAAACATATAAACTTAAATATTTGATATATATAAATACAAATAAATTTAAATTTATATTATTATTAATATATTAAAATTTTAATTGCAATACAATTTTTTCTATATTTCCAATATTTTTATTTAAATAATAAATATATTTAGAAAATCATAATTTAATTTTATTATGATTATAGTGGTTGATAAAAAATAAAAATATAACTCTAGAGGTGAATAAAATTATAAAAAATAAAAATAAAAATGAAAAGTATTTTATATATATCAAATATGAGAAAATTACAAATTTAGTCCCACAGTTGCAAATTTAGTCCTGAAATTTAACGGTGACTTAACGGTCAGTTAGATTTGGGACCAATTAAGCAACAAAAATTAGTTAAAGACTGAAATTGCGCCTCTTGGGACTAAAATTACGACCGTCCCAATCTAACGGGACCAAATTTACAATTTCCTCAAATACTTAATATTAAGACACTCGTGATTACACATTGCTACTTAAAAATTAATGTTAATCCCATTAAATAGCCATAAAAATTTACAAAATACAAATTTTGGCCACATTTGATAAAAAACATCTTTTTTAGCCATTGTGGCATTTAATAATACTAAATATCCTTAACTCAATTTTTCCTTTATCCTATTTTTCATTCCCCCAATTCATTTCACTTTTATTTTTCATTTTCAGATCTGAAAAATTCATCTTCACCTCATCTTCAAAAATTCTCACCCTTCAGAAAAATCATCTTAAAAAATTCACTATCCGAGCAGCTCACCCTAACCACGTCGAGATCGTGCAGCTCGACGACTCCACCAGCGAGATCCTACCCGCCCACCAAGCTCATCTTCGTGCCCGACAAGGAGTGCCAGCACCCCGATTTGCTCACCTCCTCCGCCTCTGTCAGATCTCCGATTCCGACGGCGGCCGCCGCATGGAGCTCAAGAGCCTGCTGAACAACTGTCGTAACAGCGAGTTCTCCGGGCCACTCACCTCGTTCGACTGGAACGAGGCCGAGCCGCAGAGGATAGGCACCTCCATCTCAAGCCTTGTCGCCGCACGCAGTACAGCCGAGAGCTCGCACACCGGCAGCCTTCACTCGAGAAGCCACCACTTCCGGCGACCCGAAGCAAGAGAGACGAGAGAAGAAAAGTTGGACCACCTGCCGCACCTTTGAGTGAGTCCAAACCCGCCCAAAAGCCGAAGCCTTTGCAAAATTTCAACCCAGCCGAGGCAGAGCCTTAGACCCGAGTCCTTGCCCTTTCTTTTTGAAATCTTAAAGGAGGTAAAGGCTGAGCCTCCTTACCTTATTTTATGGCCGGAAGAATTATTTTGATTCAGTTTTTAAAAGCTTAAGAAGGGCATGCTTAGACTTAGATGAAAATGAAGAAGAATGGAATTGTGCTTGTGATTTATTATGAGCTTTATGAATATACTCATTTCATTTGTGGTTTGACCATGAGAGAAGGAAAAAAAAAGGAGAAATAAAGCATAATGTGTATTTTTGGCCTTTTTGTTGTGAGATCTTTCTGTGGCCAGTTGGTATGGCTATCATGCAGTTGTTATGCATTAATTTTCAGAGAAGTATGCTCAGTTCCGAAGGCTTTTGGTATGTGTTGGTTGAGGTTTAAGAAAGAAGGGAAATGAAAAGCATGCTTAAGTTGTGTTTGAGCCTTGTTTTGCCTTATATGTCGCTGTGCATTTTATGTAATTTATTTGTTGTTTTTTGTGGTTTTAAAAGAGTTTAAGTTCAGTTCTTAATTACCTTTAATGTACCTATGATTTTGAACGAAAAAGAGAAGGAAAAAGAAGGGTTAATTTGAGGCTTGAATGTATGTTGATTTGAATCCTGTTGTTGCACTATTGGGTTGAGCTTTTATGCGTGTATATGTTGTTATTATGAGTCTCTATTTGAGGATAAATCTCAGTTCTAATAGCCTTTAAGTTGCCTATGAGAAAAATAGAAAATTGATGCATATGTGATGAGCTTTAAGCCGTGTGTTTAGCTTCATTTTGTTGAGTTAATTGTTGATCTTTTTGGTGACTGTTAGCTTGCTGAAACTGTATAATTTCATAAGTTACATTTCAGTTTTAAGGCCTTATGACTTGTGGTTTGAGCATGAGAAAAAGAAAAGGAATTTTAAAGCATGCTTGTGTTGATGCTTGGTCTTTGTTTTTATGATTCCTTGCTGTAGCCTTTTTGGGTGTTTCAAGCTGTTATTGTGCATTAACTTTAAAAAAAAAAAAAACACCAAAAATTGTAGAATAGAACCTTAAAACAGCACAAGCAAATTGATGGTAGCTTAGGTCAAGTACGTTCTCATGGGATAGGTACAAATAAAATTCATTAGGACAATCATAGAGACGAAACTATACTTGGACGACAGGAAGTATTTAGAAAAGAAACAAACGTGAAGGCAACGCCAATAAATTAAAATATGATATTGAGTCTTAACAGTTTTTCATATTTTATTAGATGCATTGGCCAAAGTTGAACAAACCAAAGCTAAACAAATCATCGATGTTGGGCACAGAAAGCCATAGTCATGTAGTTGAGGGGACATTGCGATTAAGAAATACAGCAAAATAAGCTCAATGTTTAGCCTCCGGGGATGGAGGCCATACAATTATTATGGTTTAAAATAAGATAACGTCGAGCGGTGTTCGGTAACTCTACAGAGTGGACCTCACGCGTACAAACTTTGTACAAAATGCAATTGAAATTTGTAATGGGAGGAGCAAAGACGAGAACATCTGGGTAATTCAGCCAACCAACCGGAATGAGCAAAACCACCCCTTGGCGTACCTTGTCTTCAAATCCATCGAACCTCCAGTTTTCAGCTTCCAAATCAATGCTAAATACCTTGAGCCACTCCCCAGTTTCTGGTTTCATCTGCCAAACTTGCCACGAGAAATTCCCAAGGGCGACCAATAAAGATAGATACCTTCCTGTTGACAGATAAAAGCGTCTCTTGTTTCTGTGAACCCGAGGAAGGGGGACCTCTGAGTTGGAAATAATTTCAGTCTCCACATTGAGAGAGAAAACAGAGGTGCTCGAATCCCAGACCCAATGCACAAAACCATCAGTGATCAACGGCTTAAAGTCGTGTGAAAGTTGCTTCCTATTAAGAGACAAGTGTTTGGTGTAGACATGCCTCCAGGTGGTATCGACACCAACAGTTAATATACGACATTCAAGATTCCTTACACCATTGCTTCCATCCACGAAATTGCGTACAACCACTTTATACTTCATGGAGGCCGCCGCATACGCCATAGCAGGAAGAAGAGTTGCATAACGTATCTTGGAAAATGGAGGCAGGGTGAAGCATTGCTTGGTTGCGGGATTCAGGATGCGCACAGAATAAGGATCTCCGTTTACGAATCCCAAAAGCAGGCCATTACAGCTGGCCCAGATAAAACGACCAAGTTCGTAGCGGCAAATGGATTTCTCGACCCGGCCCTGCCGCATCGAGATAAAAATCAATTCTTTGGGTAAAAACAAACAGTGTAAGAGGAGCCCACCGGAAGTTGCACGGCAAATCAAGTCAGGGGTATGATGGGTCAAATGGTACCACTTGCGGCAAACGAGGCCTAACGGGACCCGGATATCATGAGGTGGGAGACGAGCAATGATGTCCGATAATAAATCATTGGGAAGGGACTCTATACTTGCTAACCTAAACCTCTTCCTCAAATAATACCGTGGAGTGTGACTGTGGCCGCCCACCTGCACATCAATTAAGGGCATGCTTGTGATGAACTGTGTCTAAAAACTTCCAACATTTAACCATTTGTGAAACAACGTGATTCAAGAAACACCTTTTCGTTTCATTCTTAGCTGCGCCATTTAGCAATCGCTAGCTAGTTTTCGGGAACACACACACACACACACACACACATGTAATGTAAGTCAGCTCAGAACAGTACACACACTCAATTAAGGTTCAATTACAAAAATATATATCAGTTTTGTAAAAGCGTCGCAGAAATTCTTACAACTCCAGCGGGTGATAGGGTGTTGGCGGCGGACTTCGGCTCGCTCTGAAATTCCTCGGACTGTGGATCTGAACCCCAAAAAGATGGTAATTACGCCACAAAAACTTTTAGCAGAAAAGAGAAGACAATGGATAGATCTAACTAATATGCATTTGATTTGAATGTGGTAAAGGAAAATCAACAAATACTCTTGTCATTATCGGACCACGAACCTGCAACCTTGCCCATGCTTCTTAGAGAGTTGACTATACAGAATGTTTGTATACTCTCGGGAGAAATACGCAAATATAAAGTAGGGTTAATTGCACTAAATACTTAATATTAAAACACTCGTGATTACATATACGGAAACAATATTAAATTAATAATATTATAAATAGACTTCGAGTTTGAGTCATTCAATGGCGAAAGTAGAAATTACTATTGATCCTATTTAAAAAGAAGAAGAAAAAAAATAAATTATAAATTAAAGATGAGGATAAACAATACTTAATAATTATAAATTAAAGATTCGGAGTCAAACAATATAAAATTAATTTATATAAGAGAATATAAAAAAATTTGATTACACACCATTTCAAAATTATTATTATACTTTTTTGTATGGTTAGCTTATAATATTTGTAAAAATATTAGTAATTAGACCGATTCAAATTAACTTCTTAAAGTAGATAATGAATTTCTAGTAGTAATTATGAATTGATTTTTATTTTATTTTATTTTTTCTTTTTAAAGATAATGGATTTCTAGTAGTAATTATGAATTGGTTTCTATTTTATTTTATTTTTTCAAATCTGTATAGATAAGGGATGAGATTTTTTAAACGATATGCAATGCGATTTCGTAACAGAAGAGATAAGCTCGTGTAGATTTATACTAAAAATAGGAGTAAGAAAAACAAATATTTATTGGCAAACAACGGTTTTGATAAACTAAAAAACAGGAAAAAGAGAAATAAATCTTTACACAATTAATGAGCCGATTCTTTTGCCTATTCAGATTTGTCCTTATATGTAGGATATATTTAATGATTTTGGCGGGAAAGGTTTCTAAATTTGTAAAAAGGTTATTCTTTTTATATAATGATAGATGCTTATATAAAAAGAATTACTATTTACTAAATATAGCAAGCAAAACAAATTTCAAAATTTCTAAATAAGGAAGGGATAGAAGTTTAAATAAAATATGGTTGCTTTAACGAACTTATAGGAAAAACATAAAAAAAAAGTTTGCACCATTCATTTTAGTAAAACAAAAACAAAACAAAAAAAACTTAAATGAATTTTATTAAAAAATTAACTTCATTTAATTAACTTGCACTAATTATACCATTCATGCAAAGAAAAAAAAAACACAATTATATTTATGCAATTAAAAAAAGTGTATGCTACAACATTGGATATTAATCCATACATCATAGGTACTCACTTAATAAATCTTCACCACATCTTTGTTGGAATAAAAAACTTAATAACGGGAAAAAAAAAATTGGGACTATGTTTACTTGAAAGACTATCAACAAGTGTACATATTTTTAAATTCATTTTCAAATTGAAACTTTAAATTCGTACTCAAATTGAATTGAATAATATAATTTAATTAGAAATTAGGAGTTTCTTAGAAAAAAACTATCAAGCAATTTGCATTGATTTTCAAAAACATATAAATACTGATTTCTAAAATTATGGGGATTGTTTACTTGATATAGATTATGACCACGTGTACAAATTTTACAACCATCATGAAATTCAAATTGGAATAATATGATTTAATTAGAATTGTAGGAGTTTGTTAAGAACAAAAACTCTTTGTGAATTTGTATTGATTTTCAAAAACAAATAAATACAGATTTCTTTTATAAAGAATCATTTATTCGTATTTCATCATAAATCTCAAAGATGTGTACTTTGTTGATATTTGAATAAAAATCTTAATAACAACGAGATTTTAAAATCATTACATAAAATTGATAAATGAAGTATATACAGCGTAGAATTGTTAAGTCTCCGTTTATTTTATATATTTGAATACAAATTTTGATAATGAGATTTTAAAATTATTATATAAAATTGATAAATGAAGCATATGCATAAAGCATGGAGTTATTAAGCCTCCGTTTATTTTATACTCAAATTGATGACGAAATAATTTTTGGTATCATCTCAATATTCATTTTATATATAATATGTAAATCTTCTCTCAATTTTAATATTTTAGACATAAATGTTTTTATGTTCTTTATATAAGATAATTTTATATTGTCACAATAGATTATATAAAGTAAATTTTATCACATGTAATCCCACATCTTTAATTTATAATTATAGTTAATATTGCTTATCCTAATATTTAGTTTATAATTAATATTAGTATTATTTTTTTTTTTTTTTTTTTTGGTACAATGAAAGAGGCCATAAGCCTATATTAGGACTCGACGGGAATACGGCACTCCAATAATATCATGCTCTAACCAAACTTCCAGAACCGAAGGCGGGGAACCTACTCGCTGAAGGTTGGGATTATTAATATTATTTACCCGTGCATAGCACGGGCTACACACTAGTTGCTACTTAAAAAATAACTAGTAATGAACGCTTACTTACGAATATGGAGCGCGTCCGGCGACATTTCTCCGCCTCCGACAGTTGCGATCTTTGTGGAAATAATGAGTCAGTCCTCCACGTGCTCCGCGACTGCCCTCCCGTCAGCGAGCTGTAGCGGCGGCTGCTCCCGGCGACGCATGCTGTCGTATTTTTCGACCCGTCACTCCGGCGGTGGCTGACCCGCAACCTCACCACGTCTCGACTAGGGAGTTATGTGAATTGGAGTGGGTTGTTTTCGACTGTGGCCTGGTGTGCATGGCGGTGGCGAAACGACCGCATCTTCAATGGCCATGCGTTAGACTGTGATGCGCGGCAAGTCGAGGTTTTGTCTCGCTACGAGTCTTACACTCAGGCCACCTCAGCTTTTGCTAAGACCGGGTCGGATGTGCCCCAGTTTGAGTCACGACTAATATCTTGGGCCCCTCCAGACCCTGGGTGGGTCAAAGTTAATACGGATGTCGCGTTTGATAAGTCTTCTGGACTAAGCAGTGCGGGAGGGATCATTCGGGATGAGCTGGGGCGATGGGTGTCCGGTTTTCTTATGAGCATAGGGAATTGCACCATAACCGGGGCGGAATTGTAGGGCGGTTTTTATGGGCTACATCTTGCATGGAATATAGGGTATCGCAAGGTCAGGATAGAGGTCGATAGCCAATGTGTACTTCGGATGATAACTGGGACCGGCCGCAACTTTGGGGTACACGAGGCTTTAGTCATGGCCACTCGGTAGTTGGTCCAGAGGGAGTGGCAAATTCACATTCGACATGTGCACAGCGAGGCAAATTTTGTAGCTAACCATCTGGCGAGTTTAGCNTCCCGTGCACATGAACAGATATAAATAATATGAGAAAATTTAATATTAAAATCTATATATCTATATAATGGACCAATCTTTATTGCCATAGTTGGCATGATTTTGGACGAGAATTTTTTTCGTCTACA